AAATATCCATGGAGCCTGGGAGGAGGGGGATTGGTATCCTTGCTACTTTGGCAAGAAGCTGGTCATTTGCAGATCCTGTTCTGTTCCTTCCCTTGTCTTGCTTTCATCAGGCTGGAGCAGCCAGGCCAAAAGCAGTGCCAGTGGTCACCACCATGAAAAACCAGGCATAAGGAAAAGCCCAGAGGGGATTATTCAAGGAGTAGCTTGTAACTGAGCACCTGGAATTGAGCCTAAATTACACCAGTTCAGTTCACTTCGACTTAAGAGACGAATGTACAATTACTTTTCTCACTCTGTGCTGATCGGCCTGAACCAAACTCTCTAAAGGGCTTGAAGAAATTCAGTTTGCTGTTACAGAGCCCCCAGTGGCACCAACACAGCCATCTACTGCCTTCAATTCATCTTTTTGGGTTGGTTGGTTTTTTTTTTGGTCTTTACTGTACAGATTAGTATGTTGAAAATGCTTTGCAACAAAAAACAGCTGGTACTCCTGAAAGAGTAACTGCAGTTTTAATATCAACAGCATGCACACTTTTGTTTTTCAACTAAAAATGTTTTTACAGGGCTGTTAAACTGACAATTTAGGGTAGAATATTGTTAATGACTTGCTAATGGCTTATTTGTTTGGGTCAGAAAAACAAAAATAAATTGTGCCAAGAAAGTGTTTTTCATGTGGCATGTGAATTGATGCTGTTCACACAGGAACATGGAGTGGCTGATGTTATTGCCTTCTGAACTGGAAATAGCTCCTTTCTTCAATGGATGTGGATTTCAAACCAGGCCTTAGTCCTGTGCTGCCAAAACCTCTCCCTGCACCACACCACTTCCCACCTTCCTCAGCAGCTGAGGTTCTTCTCTAGTAGCAGGTCCAGCTTCATGCCCAAGCAGTTGAAGTGATTTTCTCCAAAAATGCTGTTCAGTTGGTTTGGGATTGACATTCAAAGTGTCTTGACCAGTGACAGGAGCAGTGGGAAGGCCAAGGCTGTGCTCTGGGTTTGGTACCTGCTTGGTTCAGCTGCTGCCACCACCAACTGCTTCAAAACCCTCTAGGATTAGACTCATGACTTCCAGCATTGCTAAAACTGGTGCTATATTGGGTTAGTGCTGGAGCTAGTGGGATTCTTACCTCAGACCATGTAGTGTCTAGTCTGGCCCCTTAAATCAAGCACTGGGGTGTGTCCCAGCTTCCTGCTGAAGAATTGTGTGCTTTGCTTGGCTTTCAGCAGAGCTTTGGTCTGGGAAATGGTGTGTTGGTAGGTAGAGCAGGAGCACCAGTGCTTCCTTCAGCAGGTTTGCAGCAAACCCATCAAGTCACCCTCACTCTGCAGGTTTCAGACACTTCTCTTGGCTCTTTGGGACAGATTCCAGACATGTGGATGGTGCCCAACCTCCAGCTCACAGGGGCTGCAGTTCATGACCTTTTGGGCCCCCCTCTGCACCCTGTGATCTCCTTAAAAACTTCCAGTTTCCTCCACAACTTCTCAGAGGTAATTTTGCTAATAAGGTGACTTTTTTTCCCCTTGCTGCTCTTTATGGTCTACCCAAGGACTCCTCACTCTTGATGCATCAAGAAGCAAGTCTGCCTGGAGAGAGGAAGAGGAGGGAAATTATTGGTCCTTGAAGCTCTCAAGTGCTGGAGTTCCTCGTGTACCTACTTGACACCTCAGGGTTGCAAGAGGAGTGGTGAAGGAAGAGGGAGACCCACCACTCAGCACAGGGAGGTTCTTTGAGCAGTTCCCACTCTCCAACATGGATTAATTTCCTCTGGTATTGTCAAAATCAGAAATCCTCCTGTCTCAGAGTTGCCTCCTGCCAGCTGGATTTTTAAATGTGTGTGAGACCTTTAATGGGAGCAGAGAAGCACATTCAGCCCTTGGGCACCACAGCTTAGCCTGGTGAGCTTTTAAGCCTGAAAATACTTTAAACATCTGGATTTCTGTCACTGGAAGGGTTTGACAGACCAGCTTGGATTGCTGCTGTGGCAGGAAGGTGTCAGCTGGTGGTTTAATCTGATACTGGGTAGTGAGTATATTGGTATTTGTGGGGAAAGAAAGGAACCCCTGGGTATCAGCATCTCCAGCAGCTGCTGCTTAGTTCTTCCTGCAGGATTTGTCAGATCCTCTACCTTTCTGGTGATCCCAAGTGATGTGTAGAACTCAGAAGGCAGGTGGACATCCCTCTGCTGAAGAGGGCCAAGGGTATTTAAACTTAGTGGAGCTGGAATGGAGCACATGGAGCTCTAGGAAGTGTCAAACGAGGTCTCGGTGTGTGGAGCAGGGACCTCACCTTGGAAACCCTGGATGGGAGAAAACATTTGCACCTTTGTCTTGAAGTGGTTACTGGAAGATGTCTTTGGGGTTTCAAATTTGACTTTGCACCTGCTGGGGCTTTTCAAAAGCATGTTCCTAAAGGAAGAACCTTTTCTTTTTCAGTTAAAAGCAGCACCCATCATTTTCTACTGGGTGAAGCTTCCGCACAGCTTTGAATAAGCATGTGTGCTGGTACTGCTGCCTGGCCATGTGGTGGGACACTGCCAGGCCCAGCAGGTGACACCTTTTCCTGGGACATACCTAGAAAAAAGTGAAATAAGGGTTTTTTTCCACATTCTCCTTGAAATCTGGCAGTCAGGGCTGCTAAAAGTATTTTTGGTCGCTTCATAAAGTTGGATTGTTTAATTCCAGGTGACAGTTTATTGGTGACAGAGAAACCTGGTGCTGTTGCGAAGCCAGGGGAGGCTTTTACCTTCTTTATCTTTGTGTCTTTGCTTCTCACCAGCACTGCCCGAGCTGTTTTGTGCTTTCTTAGGGTTCTCAGAGCAGCTCTGGGAAGAAGGGAAGAGAAGAGGAAGGGAGGAGCTCTGGTTTGGGGAGGAGAGGGACTGTGCACATCCCAGCTTTCTGTGGAGCAAGAGGGCAACTTAATTCAGAGTCATCTTGAATGTGCCTTAAAGCAAACTAATAAACTGGAAAAAAATAAAAGGGATTGGAATCTGCTAGTGTTGCTTTTTCCCCTCGTGCAGGCACAAAGCATTCAGTGGCTACAACTGTGGGTAGGGAATGTCAGGAATCCTCAGTTCCCTTCCCAGATCTAGCAAGGACTTTGAGCCTCTGCCTCTAGCTTTTCCATGCAGAAAATGTGGTCACCATTTTGCAACGTGCTGGTTGCTCCAGGAGAGTAAAAACATTTGAAGCTGCACAGATCAAATGTTTGTCTCTCCAAATTATAATGACTTTAGGTCCTCTTAATCCCCAATTATAACAACTTGAAACAACTTCAGATCCTCCTACTCCCCAATTATACCAACTTCAGATCCTCTTTCTTGCTCTCAAAGCCACTGGTTTATCCCAAATGGATCTGTTTGTGCTTCCCAGGCATCCAGATACAATGTTTGTACTTGTGTAAAGCATCCAGTGAAAGGAAATGTGGGTGTTCAGGGAATTTTGGGAAAGACAGGCTTA